AAACAGGGCCTACTAGATTCCCACCTGATTCCCAGCAGATCCCTGACAGATTAACGCCTCGAGAACAATGAGACGAGAGTGGAGACGGCTTCCTCTGTGTCCCCGCTTGTCTGGGGCAGACAACATCTCCGTGCTACCCTTTCTAGCGAGGGTTGAGGTGTGTGCTCCCGGGCAAGGAAACTTTCCCAGCAATCCCCTGAGGGAGGGGAAAGACTCTACCACCGATACAATACATAAAAACATCTGTCTATGAACCTCAGCGTGAGGCAATGCTTTAGGCAGCGTGATCTTTTTTTTTCTGTTATTTGTCAGAATTTCAAGTCCCCAATTTCCCGTGAACAACGGGAGGCCCGAGGAAAAATCACAACCAAACAAAGAGTCTCACATCCTTTATGTGAGCTTTATTAACCACTTTAGCCTCTGCATGATCTCTCATATCTGCAATCCTCTTTATGGGGTGAGTTTCAGGTTACTGAAGATCCTGTATGTCCTCAAAAGGCGTTTGCAGAGTTTGATTGACAGCTGGTGGCAGAAAAAAAAAATAATTTCAAACTCCTGAGTGACATGATTAGGGTTGAAACTTGAAATGTTCCAGCTTCAGTGAAAAAGGTGTGATTTCTATTTAGAGAATCAATCTCAGAGAAGATGTTTCTTTCCTCATATCTCTGCCGCACACCTGTTAAGTGTTTCCCCTGCTTAACCTCCTCATTCCCGTCCCCTTCCCCCCCATCCTGAAACACCTCCTGCCTCGCAGAGCAGGTGTTGGAGGAAGTCATCGTCTAATCAGACAATCCAAACAATCAGCATCTCTCCACATATAATTACAGACGTCTACAGATGGATTCAACACTGAATGGCTGTAACCTCAAATACACACAACAAAAGCATCATTTAAACATTTCTTTATATAAAGTAATGAATGTTTCTCTGACTCCAGTTTTTACCTCTAACCACACCAGCCTCTTTTGTGATTCAGAGGCTAAATTGGGCAAAAAAACAAACTCACAAGAGTAATGAGAGCCACTGTTTTAAATTTAAACACTGATACGTCTTCAGGTGTTTCTTTATCCCGGTTTCCACCAAGGGGTTCGGTTCAGTTCAGTTTGGTAAACCCTGATCTTGCATCGTTTCCACAGCAAACAGTACCATGACTTCGTAAGTGGGGTGTAAGCCGGATGGTGGTTCATAATAGCGTGACATCATAGCAGCGCCACACAGTGTAGCCCGCCATTAAATTAACTGAAAAGAAGAAGGTCAACAATGGAGGACGTCCAGCAGAGGTCCACACCTAGCTGTGTCAACTTATCGCTGTTATTTGACAAGTCAACAGCTTGGGATAAATTGGCCAGAAAATCAATAAATGGAGGTTTTCTATCAATGTCCAGAAGAGCCGAGAGCCGAGAGCCGAGAGCCGAGAGCCGAGAGCCAAGAGCCAAGAGCCAAGAGCCAAGAGCCGAGGTATTTTTGTGGGAGTCGAGTCCAATTAATCAAAAAATATAAAATGATTTTACAAACATTTCACTTTTTAGATTTTTTATTTATTATTTTTTGTTTCCTTTAAAGGCTTTAATATGTGATTTTTTTCATCCAGTAGATGTCGCCCTTGAGCACCAGCATGAAACCAAAACAACTTGCGCTGCATTGTTGTGTTAGCATGCTAATGCTAGCGATCTTTATTATGCTGGTATCTTCACACTGCATGTAAATTTACCTGAAATGAGCGTGATCTAGAAACACAGCACTGTACTTAAGCAGTGAGTACAGTATGTTATTCTTCTTTTCTCTAGTCCCTCAATTAAACAACTTTTATTCGCGAGGGGAGGAGTCAGCCGGCCGTCCCGGCGATGTAAACAAACTGAAGATATGACTCGGAAAACTCAAAAAACATCACAGACAGTGGGACTCGGGTGTTACACCCATTGTAGACAGTCATGACTCACAGAGTTATTTTCAGAGGATATTCTTGATTTCTATTATATTTAAGTGTGAAAAATCACATTTAAAGCCTTTAAAGGAGAGACAGGACAGTGGAGAATAGAGAGAGAGTGGAGAATGACATGCGGGAAAGGAGCCACAGGCTGGATTCAAACCTGGACCGCCCGCTTGGAGGACTACAGCCTCCATAGATGGGTCGCGTGCACTTACCACTGCGCCACCAGCGCCTCATATTTGGCTTTCTAGCACAACAATCTCCACTTCTTCCCCAATAGAGCACCAACCAACCATAGATCAATAAAAAAAGTAAATCAATCATTATTTGTACAGCGCTGACAATTCATAATCACATTTTTCCAAACTGCTCCCCTGAAATTTAGATTTTGCAGTTTTCAGACTGCTTGATTTGAATGTCCAATATTTGAAGTGTTTCATTTAACATTGTCTCAAAAAAACTGTGAAGAAACAACAATTTGATTCCACTGTAGATTTTAATGAGTGAAAATCAAAGCAAACCAATTGTCGGTAAATTCCATTAGTTAATCCATCATTTTGAAAGGAGTGCAAATTTAAGCGTGAGGCAGAATACCCAAACATTTGGTGCTTATTTGTCGAGTATTGTTTAAACTAAAAGCACTTTTCCTTTCAGTGGGTTTGTCCATCTCAGGCCGGAGCAGTTTGAGCGGCTCGGGGGATCGCTGCAGAGTGCTAACACATATATACCTTCCGTCCCTGTGATTTAAACTAACACCAGTGCCTCACAGCGCGGCACAAAGGAGCCAGCAAACACATTGTGCAATTCCCAAGAAATTTCTACAGCGAGACTGGCGACCAGCAGCTCCACCACGATTCTGAAGGCGGACAGTTTGTGCTGCTACGCCAAGGACAGGAAGTGCTTGCAGAGGGACAGGAAGTGCTCACCGCTGCAGTAGCCGAGGCTGGAACTGAGATAATGCCATTGTGTAAGCAAGCCAAGTGACCTCTCCCTGAGCGCGGAGTCCAGAGGCTGGCGTCGAGAGCCCTGGCCCCCACCCAGCTCCAGACTCCCCAGGCACGGGGTGGAGGGACAGGGGGGGGGGAGGTTTAGAGGGGGGAGGAGAAGGGGGGGTATAAGGCATGTCACCTCCCCTCCACTCCTCTGGGTTGACTCTGAACCTCACCTTGTAGAGGAAATGTGGCTACGACTCCAGACTTTATGACTTCTCCCATCAAAGGCCAGGATTTTTCACTCCCACACGGCGAGAGAGCGATGAGGACGGGGCACACTCATACCCACGCCCATGTTAACGCACTAAACACACACACAGACTCTCTCTTTCTCCTCTCTCTCTTAAGGGGGGGGGGGGACCTTATCAGCTCATCAGCGGTAAAATAGACGATGACAGTATTATAGTCCAAATCCTGTCCCTCCATCCAAATCACCCTCCAACTGACCCCCACGGAGGGTCACCCAGCCTGCTCTGGAGTCCCGCTGGGGACTGTGCGAGGCCACCGAAAGGTTGCATAAGCATCCCTCATATTTCTGTCAGCTCCTTTTGACGTGTCAGGAGCACAGTAACCCACAAACCAGAGATGAGAACAGTGCGAGAAAAGACGGAGCTGACAAGTTGAGGTCTGCCGGCTCTGATAAGGACCCCCGCAGCCGCTTGTTGATGTTTGGATTTCTGGGCCACACACACAAGGGGCTTCATTCTCTGCTATGTAAACACTCCAAATCTGGGTATTTGAGGTACAACAGGTTGCTTTAACCTTTTTTCACCCCTTTATCACAGTCCTCGTCCAGCACAGCTGCTCTGAAAAACAAGGACACACATTCTCACACATTTCTATGACTTTTTAAATGAGTATTTATATTTTATATATATTTATAGCTGCATGTTGTAAAGTCTCAAAAAAATGATATTTTTGGATGTGTTTCAGTTTTATCTCCACTTATCAAACCCAGAAAAAAATTATAGAGCACACAATGAAATCAGTGAGCATCGAATGAGGTAAAAATAATTGCATATAATTCAGATATTTTGGGTGAACTCCACTTCTAAAGTTTTGTGTGAGCTGTTGAAAGACGTATAATAGCTGAGAATTAGATCAAGCATAAAAATAATATACAGTCTTTCAAATGTGCTGTTGTATTTTTAGTCTTAGGAGACTTGGCTTTGTTCCCACTATGTCCCTGTGTCACTTCTCTTAAAGTAAGGTAGAGATGTTCTGTTCTCTGGATAAATGTGAATCCGAAAAATGCTTGAGGCCTTCAGCTTAATCCATCAGCTGTTTGTTTTGGGTCATTAATCCCAGACAGACGTCTAGTAAGCTACAGAAACAGTTTTGACATTTGAGCGTCCCAACTGAGACACCAGTATCACCACGTTTCACAAGTTTTCTTGCGTGGAGGACCTTCCTCGGTTTACAGGTACGTGATGGGTGTTTATTTAATCCCTCCGCAGTCTTATTGATTTCATTTCTAGGGGCATTGAAGTGATTAATTAACGCCTTTTATCGAGGCTGCAATCAAAGAAAGTCTCCATCGAGACGGCCGTGCGTAAAAGTTGCGAATGAGGGAGCCATTAACTCCACGCGTAAACCTGATACTCAGGATTTAACACGGTTAACTAACCCAATACACACACTGACATGGAGCTTATTGATGTCTGACAATTAGTGCCAGTCTAATACAAGAGTGAGAATTAAAACTTGCAGTCCAAATAAACGTAATTGTTGGAGTTCAGCCTTTTTCGCTCCAAATGTTCGTAAACATTTACACATTTGGAGCAACAAAAACAGAACTTATTAAAAAAATAAAAATAAATAAGAGTTAATATCTCAATTTCTGTTATGAGATTAGAAAATAAATTTTTATCCCATTTTTTTTGCGTCTAGGCATAATTTCACATGACTGACTATGTGTACTCTCACTGCGTCTGTCCTCAAAGGGTCTCAGCTCTTCACACAAGGCTCGGAGGCGGAGTACTCGAAACTTTTTTACACCTTTGCAGCAGACCTAGTGGGCACTCCCCCCACATGGCGATTGGCTGCCTGTGAGTTTATAGCTCACGAGCCTTCACATCTGCTGCTGAGTAGTCGGTATCGCTCTGTCCACGCGCCTCTTGGAAGCTGCAAATGTGACTTATAACTCTCAATTTCAGATTGAAAGCCAATCACCTTGTTGAGTTTCTTCTTCGTCCATCTGCATGCTGTTCTCAGTGGTGTGCTGACGCCTCGCGAGCTGTCTCTCCAAACCTCCCATCTTGACAGAGATGAGTAGTCCCGATGCGGGTTACGCCAGTGACGATCAGACCCAGGCAAGGTGTACGATGTCAGTCATGATGCCTGGAATGGGACACTGCCAGTGGGCCGACCCTCTCAGTCCTCTCGGGGACAACAAAGTGAAGAACGAGCCGTGCGCCTCCGCAGGGAGCTCCGGGAGCCAGAACCGCGGGAAGAGCGAGCCGCGGATCCGGCGGCCCATGAACGCGTTTATGGTCTGGGCGAAGGATGAGCGCAAGAGGCTGGCGCAGCAAAACCCGGACCTGCACAACGCGGAGCTCAGCAAAATGTTGGGTAAGTTGTTAAATACTCGGATGTGATGTTGCATCTAAACAAGACTTTTTAAATTTGGACATTGCCTTATTATTTTTTTTTCAGAATTTCCAAATGATTATTCACTCTTTTATTTTGTTTTCATGCTTTCAGTTGATTTAAAAAGCCAAATTCTCATCCGTTTATTTTTTTGAGAGTTGGTGATGTTACAATGTTATAAAAAGCTACTGAGTCTGAGTGTAACTTACACATGTAACCTCAAAAAAAAAAAACTGTCCCTGCCCCCTAAAATGGCAACAAGCTATTTTTATGAGCATGTTCACACTGTGTTCACTATCTGCTGACGTTTCACCGATATTCACTTTTCCTCTTGACCTGCAGGGAAATCATGGAAATCCCTTCCTGTCACGGAGAAGCAGCCTTTTGTGGAAGAGGCCGAGCGGCTGCGGGTCCAGCACATGCAGGATCACCCTAACTACAAGTACCGGCCCCGGCGGAGGAAGCAGGTGAAGAGGATCAAGCGGCTGGACTCTGGGTTTCTTGTCCACGGCGTGTCTGATCACCAGGGCCCGGCGATGGACAGCATGACTCTTGGCTACCACGAGCACGGCTTCCAGCTTCCTCAGCAGCCGCTCGGTCACTACAGAGACGTTCAGGCTCTCGGGGGCCCGTCGTATGAGAGCTACAGCCTCCCCACACCGGACACCTCCCCTCTGGACGCTGTGGAGTCAGACTCCATGTTCTTCCCTCCACACTCACAGGAGGACTGCCACATGATGTATACCTACCACTCCCAGGCTGCTGAGTACCAGCCCCAGGACCCTGTCTCCAACCACAACCCCATCCTGCACCGACACCAAGCCTCTGCTGCAGAGCCTGCCACCCTCCCCCCTTCATACATGGGACACCCCAACCCTCTGGCCATGTACTACACCCAGCACTGCAGCCCCAGCCACCCAAAGAGGCATCCCGGTGGGGCAGGACAGCTCTCCCCACCTCCTGACTCCCACCCTCACCCTGCAGACAGCGTGGAGCACATGCACCAATCCGAGCTGCTAGCCGAGGTGGATCGCAGCGAGTTTGAGCAGTATTTGAGCTCCTCCTCAGCGCGTGCGGACATGACGGGCCTGTCGTACGTGCCACACGAGGCCGGCATGCAGGGACCCGAGAGCCTCATATCATCGGTGCTGTCAGACGCCAGCACAGCTGTGTATTACTGCAGCTACAACAACTCCTAACCTCCTGTTCACCCCGCTGCAAGGACACAGGACCTGACCTCAAATCTTTGAAGCTAAATCTCAACAAAATGTGTTTATTTTTGTATTTTTTTTCCCCCGACTATTAGCTCAGAAGGCATGAGATATAAAAAATAAGACTGTTGTACTGTATGTGTGTCCAAGAAAAGCCATAAAACTTTTTGAACATGAACACTGGGTTCAACCTTTCCTTCCTCTCTTGCAGGGATATGAATTCATATGGTGATAATTAATATTGTACAGACAATATTTTAAAAATTGATGTATATACTGATGTTTTTTTTTTTTTATATTTTTGCACTTTTGAGAAATAAATTGTTGCAAATATTCATCCTGTCTTGTATTTATTATTACATCATCTTTCTTTACTTTCCAAATGTAAAGCTCTTCTTCCTCAATATTTGGGCAGTGAGCTTAAAAAGAGACAAAAAAGGGAAAATGACAAAAGAACAATTTCACCTTTTAGATGTCTTTCATGTGTTGTAGGATGACCGTTTATTAACTGTTGCTTCTACAAGCCTCCATCGCTGTTGGTTTTTCCTACATCCACACACAGAGCTGAATGAGCTCCCAGCAGCACCCATTGCTCACCTGGAAGCAGGGCAGCGACCCGGCTTCCTGGCCCGGACGGAGCGAAGGTAGTCTCAGTGTTGCGTTACACATGGCGCCTTGTTTTTCACAGCATGGGAGCGCGGTTTATGCTCCAGACATCCTGCCTGTAAATGATTTAGTCATTTCTGATTAATGTCAGGGGCTGTTAACACTCCCTGTGGCCCACTACGCTTCTGTTTAACAAGAGTGACTCTTTATTTTGTGTAGCTGAATATGAGGCATGTTTCAGTATCCATCCTCCTGCTATGTGATAATAACACAGCAGTGACACCAGGTTTTATTTTAGTGCGTATACTGAAATACCCTGAGATATATTTAAACGCTCACACCACTGTGTTGCTTCATCATATTTTAAATATCAGGTAAAAGTGTTTCGGCGATCAAATCAAACCTCGGGGACAATCCTGGGTATTTATAGCTGAGAAGAGTCATGCTTTATAAATAGAGATTTTCCTGATTTCCAAAGGAAGAGGCTCTTCTCTGAGGGGTCAATCACCCTGACCTCATGCTCCATTTTTAGCACCTCAGAGGAAACATGGTCCAGAGGTTTACATGTTGATGCACTTTGTTCATGCACAATGTTTCTAAACATTACTCACATAGGAGAAGAAGTGTGTAGATATTGTTCAAGAAATTATTCAAGAGGGATTCAAATCTGTACAAATGAAAAGCACTCCTTATTCAAGTAGCTACAGAACTTTGACATGAACACACTGTCTGACATGTGTAAGTTGTTGTTACATCGTCTTCCTTCCCTCGCAGCTAAACCTCGACTTCTTCCCCCCTCGGGCCGTGCAGAGAGAATCTGTTGTAATTGGTGTGAATGTGTTTAAATTCAGTCTGCGGCTGAGTGGCAGGTTTATCCTCCCTGTTGTTCTAGCTAATGGGTGCATAACAACAGGCTCAGGCCTCGATCCCCCCCAGGCTGAAGCCGTGTGGGTGGGGTTCACCTGCGTAGACTTAAGGAGAGGCAGACCCCCCATGTCAGCCGTGATGTTATCAACAGAGGCTAATTGATCGGGGCTAATTGACGAGGAAGAGCATTCTGCATGTTCAGGGTTTATCTGGGAGGTACAGGATAGTGTTGGATAAGAAACACAGCCAAGGTATGTTTGTAATATGAATACGAGTCTCTTACTGACTCTTACTTTGCTTGTTGTCACCTCCACTGAATCACATTTTTTATGGTATAAGAAGAGGGAAAGTAAAAGATTTTATTTGGTGACATACTCACATAATCTGTGTCGAGCAATTCACCATTTTTAAAAAAAGAGGAATATTACAGACAACCTTTTCTTGTGAAATTATATCTTAAATGTACTTGTGCCAACTTGGGTTAAATAGTGCATTTAATGGTGTAACATTTTGCGTCTTCTTCAGGGCAATTATGCATGAAAATACAACGTTTCCAAGCTCAAGATATTAAAAATTATGACATTAAGGTTTGTGAACTAATTTACTGAGGAAATTAACAACAGAAGAAATGTAGTCTTGTATGTAATATTTGAATAAGTGTAAAACAGCAGCACTAAACATGTTTCCAGGTAGAAAGACAACATTAAGTCAGAGCAGAGAGAGCAGAGTTTAAAGCTCAGGAAATCAGGGCTTTCATGGTGCTCCCATTGCCGCAGTATTCTGTATGTGTGTGGGTGTGTGTGTGGGGGTGTGTGTGTGTGTGTGTGTGTGTGTGTGTGTGTGTGTGTGTGTGTGTGTGTGTGTGTGTGTGTGTGTGTGTGTGTGTGTGTGTGTGTGTGTGTGTGCGTGTGTGTGCGTGTGTGTGTGTGTGTGTCCCGGGGCCTCGCTGGCAGCAGTCTGCAGAAAGCCACTCAGAGATTACACCAGGCCGGCCGGCTACATTAACACAGCAGCACTTAATCATGGCACTGCCCTAATCTCATCTCAGGTAGCTGCCTTTCACACACACACACACACACACACACACACACACACACAGCAGCTTCACTTTACACACAGAGCTGCTGCAATTTGACTAATTCAACCTCATGTGGAAGCATCAATGTCTGCTTCATGTTAGTGCCTCAGACACAAAGAGTTAGAGGGTTTATTAGTTAAGTTTGAATGTACTGTACGCCCTGAATAAACACTGATAATAGACCCCTCTATGAGCTGGATCCAGGAGCCCTCTATGAGCTGGATCCAGAAGCCCTCTATGAGCTGGATCCAGAAGCCCTCTTTTTAATTAAGATGTAATGCCATTCCAGCTTTTCATATCTTAGATAACTGGTGTGTTTCCTTGGTGTGTTTTTGTCAACTTAAAATATTTTAAAAATATTTAAGGATTTACCAATCTTTATAAGTTAGATAACTGATCAATTAACTGTAAAAAATAAAAAGTTAAACGACAGTGTAGATAATGATTTTTTTGCCGCCGTAACCCTAAATAACAAGACCTTTCAGCGAGTCATTCAAGACATTTAGTTGTTATTGATGCGTTATGCGACTATGTCAACACAGCTGGTCTTAAATTACCATGACAACAAAACACACGTGCACAAGAAGCAACGTCCAGATCTGCATCTGTGTTTGCAGAGTGTTCGGTTTCATCACAGTAATGCAAACACACATAAATAAAAAGCGCTCCGTGCAAACCGGGACGGGCTGAAGATTCCCGTGTGCTGTTCCAGAGACAGTCACAGCGAGGGCCCAAACTGATTAAGTCATTGATAGCAGATTGCAAATACAGCATGTGAGACAGCTGCAGGAGAGGGTGTGGCCCCCCGCCTAAAGCAGGGCTGGTTGCTCATAATCCCAGGCATATGCTGTCCCTCTCAGGCTTGCTTTTATGATCTCTGCCTGTCACACCACCGCCCAGTTGTGTTCTCTCTCTCTCTCTCTCTCTCTCTCTCTCTCTCTCTATATATATCTATATGTATATGATTATAAAGTGGATCCAGTCAATCTTCACTCCATGACCAAATACGTTATATGTCTTCTTATTCCAGCTCTGATTTGATCACACCTGTAGAAAAATAAAGTTGAGAAATCGAACAAGTACTCCCACTTTTTGTGCCAAGATGTCAGCTGCAGCCAAAGAATTCACAGCAATTATTCCCAAATTGTTTTTGAAGTATTTTTAAGCTCAGCTGCAGCGCTACAGAAACAGAAGGTGCAATCTGATTTCACAGCTTTGCATTAATCCTCCTTTTACATTTCTGATTGAACATTTTCCCTCATACAACCTCAACACGGTAGTTGTAGTTGTAGTTGCTCCATCGAGTTGTGCAGGGGGGGGGGGCATTAAAGTTTATTTTTAAAACACTGTGTCATGCACATGCATGTTCCCCAGCCTAGAAGCACATTAAACACTCATTTGTAAATTAAAAAACTCTGTTTAATAAAAATGTGCAACAAGAAAAATCCCCTCCCAATACAGCTGAAATGTTTCATAATCATCCAAACAAAAGAACTTGCTGGTAATTAGGTTGTTTCCTAAAGGAATGGGGCAGTCTAATCCAAAACATGTATGTATAAAATATTCCCCCCCTCTGAGAATCCTCTAAACCTAATATGTTCTTGATTATGAAATTAAACAGAATGTGACACAAATTACAGAAATATTTGACTTTCAGTGAGGTTGTAGCTGTTTTTAAAAAGAAGTGTAGTTTGGAGATGTACCCAGTTATTTAGTAATATTCATGAACTACTAGAGGTCAAATAGCAGACTTGAAAATTATGTGAATTTGACCCCAAAGGTTTCCTTTATGTGAAAAAATGCAGCCATAAAAATCCCTGATAATATGTAGAGTATGTCCACACAAATGGCCTGTGTTAGAGATATATGATCGGTGATTTGTTCTTGAGATTTCAGGGTGATAATTGAGAATCGATTAAGGTAATGTATAATACAGCTTTTAATTAAACAAAAAAAGATCTTAAAGGGCTTGAGTGTTTAGTTAACATGAAAAAGACAAAGAGAATAAAGACCTGTGTTCTGGTTCCAGAGGATCTTTTTCAAGCTGGCTGGCACATTTGTTTCACAGTCAGGAATTGAGTCAGGGAGCTGAATCAACTCCAGGCCTCTCCTGATCGGCTCAGCACTCTCCGTTCTTTTGTTTGAATCCCCTCGTGGCATCCAGGACAATTTTTAGCTCGTGTCCAGGCGGGTAGTGAGTATAAGATGACTACATCAGCAGTCAGTTTCCTCTCCCCTCTGTTTTTCTTTGGGAGGCTAAAAGGTGTTGGCAGAGTGCGGCCACACTTTGCTCTCTTTAAGTCGTGCATGTGTCCTATATCTCTGACAGAATTCCCTGTTGGCTCTGGTCCTCTCTGCTGAGGAAACCTGTAAGGAAAATGAGCAATGCTGTTGAGTAAAGAACACGGTGCAGTGTGAGTAACACCATTAATGACTAACAACTCCAAGGAAAGCAGAAAAGTAACAGCATGGTTCTCTGACTGACCACAGTCCAAAAACCATAACTACAATTCCATGTCATCTATTTGTTTACTTCAGAGAATATTTGGAAACAATGTGAAATAATTCACCTAATTAAAAAATAAAATCTGTCACCTTCTTTCATTATTTACCCACAGAGTTAAAAGATCCTGTTTTCCAAGGGAGACCTGGCCGAGACAGGCATCAGCAAAATCAAAAAGTTACAGACAGAGACCCAAAGAGAGACAAAGTACAATTTACAAAACACTAAACTTTACATCAAATGAGTCAAATCTGGGAGTCAGTAGTTCAAGCAGTCAAAGCGA